ATAATAATAATAATAATAATAATAATAATAATAATAATAATAATAATAATAATAATAATAATAATAATAATAATAATAATAATAATAATAATGTAAAAGATCTGTAGTTGAGCTTCTTGAATGTTAAAAGCGAAGTTTATTGAAGCCTTCTTGGATTGGTTTCAAGAGTATGGAGATATGTTTGTGTTGAGCTCTATGAATGTTGAGTTGTAATCCAAAGTTAGATCAATTGGAACTCTATATTTCATATGTAAGAACCTACGAGAAATTATTAGGTTAATCAGCTCATGAGTGAAATTATATTCCTATTCTAATTTGGATTGTATTTCATGTGTGCTTATTACATGTAAACTTCTGCTATTGAGTGTTTAGTAAATGTGTATTTTCTTTTCATATTGATTGGATATATAGTGTTAGTTGTTTAGAATTTGTGTAAATCTATACATTTATGTGTAGCTAGTAAAATGCACATGCAATCAGAGACGGATTTGTATTGGGTCCAAGGGGCCCGCGGGCGCCCCTGATTTTTTTTAAACATGTATATATAATATACATATAAAGAAAATATTAAAAAATGTGTATAAAAATGTACAAAATATATTAATAATTATTTTTATGCTATTTTAATTTAAACTAATAAAATTATTTATTTTAAAAATGTGTTAACAATCCTTATATTTTATATTTTTAGATTACAACAACAACAACAACAAAGCCTTTTAGTCCCAAACAAGTTGGGGTAGACTAGAGATGAAACTCAATAGAAACAGTAGTTAAAAAAAATTAAAAAATAAAAAAAATAAATAAAATAAAAAAAAAATTGGAGCAAAAGAGAAAGGATCAAAAGTCACGGTTCCGGCACGTTGATCGCTAGTCTCCAAGCGCTCCTATCCACCGCTAAATCCTTAGAGATATTCCAATCTTTAAGGTCTCTCTGAACCGACTCTTCCCAAGTGAGTTTAGGCCGACCTCTACTTCTTTTAACAACATCGGCCCGCTGTAGAACTCTCCTGCGCACCGGTGCATCATGAGGCCTCCGTTGGACATGTCCGAACCACCTCAGCCGATGTTGAACCAATTTCTACTCAATTGGGGCCACCCCGACCCTATCACGAATATCCTCATTTCGGATTCTATCTCTTCTTGTGTGCCCGCAAAACCAACGCAACATCCGCATCTCTGCTACACTTAGTTGTTGGACATGTTGCCTTTTTGTAGGCCAACATTCAGCATCGTATAACATCACCGGGCGAATCGTCGTCCTATAGAACTTACCTTTTAGCTTTTGTGGCACCCTCTTATCTCACAGAACGCCCGAAGCTTGACGCCATTTCAACCAACCGGCTGCAATTATATGCCTAACATCTTCATGAATGTCGCCATCCTATTGAAGCATCGATCCTAAATACCGGAAAGTCTTCTTGGCCACCACTTGCCCGTCAAGGCTAACATCACCATCATCATGAGTAGCCATGTTGAAAGCGCACGTCATGTACTCGGTCTTCGTCCTACTAAGTCTGAAGCCTTTCGACTCTAACGTGTCATTCCACAGCTCTAACTTCCTATTTCCCCCGGCCCTACTCTCGTCAACTAGCACCACATCATTAGCAAAGAGCATACACCAAGGGAGATCACCTTGTATGTCCCTTGTGGCCTCATCCATCACCAAGGCAAATAAATAAGAGCTCAATGCTGACCCCTGGTGTAGTCCTATTTTAATTGGAAAGTCGCTGGTATCGCCCCCACATGTTCGAACACACGTCATCGCATCCTTGTACATATCCTTGATGAGGGTAATGTACTTAGATGGGACTTTGTGCTTTTCTAAGGCCCACTACATTACATTCCTCGGTACTCTGTCATAAGCCTTCTCAAGGTCGATAAAGACCATGTGCAAGTCCTTCTTTTGGTCCCTATGTCTCTCCATCAACTGTCGTATTAGGAAAATCGCCTCCATGGTCGACCTTCCAGGCATAAACCCAAATTGGTTTTGGGTCACACTCGTCACTCGTCGTAGGCGATGCTCGATAACCCTCTCCCAGAGCTTCATCGTATGGCTCATCAACTTAATCCCACGGTAGTTACCACAGCTTTGAACATCACCCTTGTTCTTGAAGATCGGTACTAAAGTACTTCTCCTCCATTCATCAGGCATCTTGTTTGACCGAAAGATGAGGTTAAAAAGCTTAGTTAACCATACTAACGCTCTGGCGCCCAAACATTGCCACACCTCAATAGGAATACCATCAGGGCCCATTGCTTTACCTCCCTTCATCCTCTTCATAGCCTCTCCGATCTCTGCCTCTCGGATTCTCCTCACCAAGCATCTATTGGTATCCTCAAATGAGTCAACCAACTCCAGGGTAGGACCCTCACTCTCCCCATTAAACAATTTGTCGAAGTACTCTCGCCATCTGTCCTTGATCTCCCCATCCTTCACCAGTGGCCGATCCGACTCATCCTTGATGCATTTGATTTGGTTGATCTCTTAATTGTAAATCGAGTTAGTGATTTATAAAATCTAGTATTAAGTACTGTTACATTTTTTAATGTTGTTTTTTTTACTTTTTTTTATCAGTAATCACCTATTTTTAAATTTATTTATTTTCTTCTTAAAAAATATTCATTTGATAAGCTCTCATTAACAAAAATTTTATGAAATGTACTCCAAAAGTTTTTGTTTTTTTTTTTCTTCTTAAAAATCGTTCATCTGATGAACACAATGTACTGCAAATATTTTTTTATTTTTTTCTTAAATTATAAATACATAAAATCATACTTTTTTTTATTTTTTTAAAAGTTTTAGGGTTACAGATTTTTTAAGTTTTTAGATACTTGATGGTACACATATCGACAATTATATTTATAGTAAAAAACTTTTCATATAAAATGAGCGTGTCGCCTTAAACTACAAGCTTGTTATAACACTTAAACTCGGGCCCCCTGAGCGAAATTCCTAGATCCGTCACTGCATGCAATTCACGTGATGCATGATTAATATTGTTTTATGGTTCCAAATTATATTTATATGAATTCAATTTTTTGTATTGTTATTATTAATCAGTCATAAAAAAGAAATATATTACATACTGAATTGTGACAACAAGTAGAATTCATCCTATTCATCAATATTCAATACAATTGAGTTGAAACTAAAACGGTTGTTGCGATCAATACACATTCCATTAATAGAGGAACTTTATCTCATTCTATTGATTGAGAAATTTTATTTCAGAGTAGATTTTTTATCTATAATTATTTGTTATTACTAGTACAACGCTCGTGTATTACACGGGTGTGTGCTATTTTTTTTCTTAAAATATAAAATTAATGAGAAAAATAGTTGAAAATCTAAATACCTTTTATAAAAATATATATATTATTATATAGTTAGTATGACACTTTTTATTTCTCCGACTTACATGTGTTATACTGTAATAATTTTTTTAACTTACAACAAATAACTACATTAAACATAAATATATCAATTGAGAAATAATTTTATTTTTCTAATGAATTTTAATAAATATTATTATTTCTTATTATTATAAAAATAAATATAATTTATTTATTTCATATATACAATATGAATGTCAAATCGAAGATCATCAAAAGATGATTAAATGCGATATATTATATATATAAAACCGATAAGAAATACAAAAGTTATCAACTTTTAAAGTACATTTACAATTCAATAGCTAATTGGAGAAAACAAATCAAAAGTAAGGAATATATTAAAATACCTAAGTTAGCTAAATAATATTTATGGAATGTCCAAACCTAAATTATTATTTATTAATATATCAATATTATTTGTCCAAGCCTAATTACGAAGCATGATTCTTCGCCAAGTAGGATTACGAAGCACCAGAAGCAGCCACGTAGGATCAGCGCATTCTGTAATTATATATAGGGAGGATATTGTTGCAATTATGTACATATGAAAACGAAATTATCTAAAAATAATTAGTGAAGTACTAGTAGAGAAAATCTATTTATTAATATGTAAAGAGACAATGATATTAACTTGCAAGAACAACTAAAAAATCAGCAAAAAACATTTGGTTTCTCACCTAAATAATGTTTACTATATTGAGTAACTTTTTGGCCAAATTTTAGAAATTCCCGCCCCTGTATATTGAGTAATCTTTTTGGTAGAAAACTAGTGCTTATGTCGTGCGGTGCACGAACGCGCTTTTTACTTAAAATAATTTCTAAAATTTTATATTAAACATAATTATTTATGTTTAACATCTCATTATTGTAAGAAAAGAATAACAAATTATGAAAAATTATATATTATTTATTTGAATATAATGAGTGTCTCAACCAAACTAATAACATCCAAAACATAATATATTAATAAATTAATTATATGATAGTCATACTTTTTGAATATATATATATATATATATATATATATATAGATAAACATGAGATATTTAAAATGCATTAAAATTTGTAATTTGGATATGAGATGAAAAATGAATATGTACAAAAACAAAAAAAAAATGTACCAAGAACACACATAATAGGAAATTCTTTCTAAACATTAAATTATTTTATAGTTAAGTAAATATGGACAAAAAATCATCAATTAAGTTGAACTATCAGAATATAAAAAAATAATTTATAAAATTAACATTGTTTATTCATTAAATACGAATTTTTAGTTGTGACCATAAAATATGATATTGTCGATAGATAAATATGATAAAACAATATATAACAATTAAAAAATGAAATTTACTTATTTGACCGACAAAAAATTAAAAAACAATGATTGATTAGACTTTTTAGAAGCAAGATTTTTAATATTCTTTCTCATTATTGACCAAATTTACTCGTTGCATTTAAAGAAATCATTGACCATATTTTTATAAATTCAGGTTTCCACAAAAACTTTCTCAAAATAACAGTTTTTTTTTTTATTAATTTGAATTCGAATTTTCATGTCGTCATTTTAAAAAAAAAAACTAAAAATAGTAATTACAAAAATTTTAAGCGTGAAAATCAAAATGAATTAATTTAATAGGAATCGACGAATTTAATATTATTGGAAAAAATAATGTGACATTAAAAACAAATAGAATTTTTATTCATACAAT